CAATGCCCTAAAGGTGTTGGGGTACATTTAAAAATTTTCATAACACCTATCTTCATGTCCATTTAAGAGCTCGAATATGTAATCTTCCCCTTGTAACATGGAATCCCTACAACGCTGCTTATCAAAATGTTTATGATAGTACTCATATACGGCTGCGATCAATACAAGAATTTCTTCCTCCTCATCATCATCATAAATGGTTAATATTGTCCTTATATCCATAGCTACTATCCTATTTAAGAATAAACAGAAGCAGTTATTGTAATAAAAATTAAGCAAAATGGAAAAGACATACCAAATCATACAATTATCCAGCAATAATGTAAAAACAATAGATATAGAACATAAATAGTTATCCAGCATTAATTTAAAAGCAGTAGATAGAGAAATTAAATACAGTCTTCCAACAATAATGTAAAAGCAGTAGATAAGAAAAATTCATTACAGTCATCCAACAATAATGTAAAAGCAATTATAAAACAGTCATCCAAAAGCACATAAAAGTAAGATACCGAAGAAATCACAGAGGCTGATTCATCACCCACCTAACCTTCCTGTCATTAGGAATGCAAAGAAATATGTCCCTCCACACCTTGTCCACCAAACATCCTTATAATCTTAGCATAATGGGTATCATCAATCCCCACTAATGTGTTGACGATCTTAACGCACTCTTTAAACTGGGGATCCATTTCTTTTTCTTTTTTACTGGGAGATGTCACTTCAGGCATTTCGGTAAATCGAGATGGTTAACAACTAGAAGATGATTTTGCTATAGCTTTTGCAATTTTATCAACTTTCGGGTTCCTAATATTAGTCAAACATTCCATCACTAAAGACATTATTTCTGAAAAAGTTTCTTTCTTCTATTTCTTAGCTACAGGTTTGGGAGTAGGACTGAGGTCAATAAGTCCTTCTACATTAGGTCGTTCTACATCAGTCATGCCTGCATTGCCCTCAGTGTTATGACTTTCAGCTTCATGTGTTGCCACTTGAGGCATTGTTAGCACTTGGTGAGGTCTGGGTGGCTTTGTAGAAGGATGAACATGCTTGCCAGTAGCATGTGTATTCCTAAAAATCCTTACCATCTACTCATAATTCTTGCACCCCTGTTTTTTTTATTTTTTTGCCATGCTTGAGAACCTACACGTTATTAGCTTACAATTATTGTTCATCAAACCCTTTTAATACTAAATCACTAATTACTAATTGTATGTATGGTAAATAGACACGTATTGAAATACTAACCTTGTACAATCGAACCCATCTTTCAGCTTCCAACTCAATCATCCCAGTTTCACTGTTGTACCCTACACCAGTCTTAGATAATATTTGTTTGCAATCTTTGTACAGTGCTCTTATATTATTGAATTTTTGTCTACATTGGTCCTTCGTGTACTTCTTTCCAGTTTCCAATAACATTGCGTCCACAATATGTGTCCACTCATTTGGATTAAAAGTCGTGCCTGTACGATTTCCTTTTCCAACCTCTTCCTCAATCAAGAGCATGAATTTCTATTGATGGGCATCACACCAAACAACGGCATCGGCCTGTTCAATAACTACAACATCCTCACCATTCTCACCATCAAGAGAATGAATGTCTCTTGATGGGTATTACTCAACATTGTCATTGTTCATGTCCATCTGATTATTATTAAGTAATTGAACAGTTTAGTACATTGAATTGTGTTTTGATTCATAACTCAACACGTCAATGATAAGTAAAGAAGGTACTGTCTATAAAACACTTCAATAAGGGGCAAAAAAGAAGAAAAAATGTGATAAAACCTCAAAGCTGTTTTGTGTGTGTGTGTGAATCTGAAGAATAAATTTATTTTCCTACAAAGTAACACACAAATACTTTGCTCCTATGAAAAAAAAAAAAAAATTTGGATCCTCATCCTTTTACTTTGAGAGAGAGATGAGATAGAACCCTTGTTTTATCAAATCTTATAGACACAACACAATTCAAAAAACTTCCACAACACATTTCTAGATTAATCAAATTCAAATCTGAAAATTGAAGTATACTAAATTGTACAAGCTTTATTTATAAGTTGACTTAATCCTTTGGAAACATCCATTTCACCTAAACTACACCAAAACTAGAGTTACTCACTCTGAGTACCATCACAACGAGGGCAGGGAAGGGAAGGGAGTAATTACAGTCTTGTAAAATAGGACTCATACATTACGGGATCTGTAAAGAAGAACAGGTGCAGAAATAAGTGGCTCATTCTTATTGGTCATTTGATTGGTTCAATATAGCCACTTATTAAGAAGGAAGGAAGAGGTGCAAAAAGAAAATAGAAAGGAAATAACAAAAAAAAAATTGTTGGGTAAGAATGATGCAATGAAAGAAAGGATAATAGTAATAATGTGTCATTCTTCATTTTTTATAAAAAAATTTCGGTCCAAAAATGAGCGGAAGAAGAAGGGAAAGAAAAATAAATTATTATATAATTACAATATTATATTACTATCAATTACAATATTATAGATATTACTCAACGTAATGATAAAAATAATTTAAAACTTTATCCTTCATTCTTTCTTGAGAACATAATAAATTGTTAATTTATTATCTTCTTTTCTATCAAACAAAACAAAAAAAAAAAAAAAAAAAAAGACCCAATTTCTCATTCACCCCTTATTTTCACTATTCCCTCTAACTTTTTTTTCTATACTACCAAACAAAGTATCAATACATGCAGTACATATGTAAATAAAAGTACTTCTTTGCATTTATGCAGTACTTATGTAAATAAAAGTACTTCTTTGCATTTCTCTTTACATTATGAGTATCAGAATACAATTTTTAATTTTGACCATTTTTTTTTTTTTTTTTTTTTTTTTTTGGGTACACTTTTTTTGGTACAAGTGTCCAGTTTAGCTACTGCATTAAAAAAGAAGAAGGTGTAATCACTACTACTAATTAGAAGAATACAAACACAATATGCAATTAATCAACCTAACATTTTCATATGTTGGCAAAAAACTACATATTCCATATGTTGACAAAATTTCTGTCTTTAGACAGATTAATCAACCTAACATTTTCAGTTTTAAGTATAAAGATTCATTAAGCTCGCCCAATTAGTCTTTAAATAAGGAGTTTAGAATCAAATTAATTCAAGATTGGTAAAGAAAAATACAGCACTCAATCACAAAATAAAGTTGAAAACAGAGTACCACTTCCTAATTATATTTAAGCCATAACAAATACGGAATACCAATAACATAATTAAAAAAAAATTCCCACTTACAGAAACTGGAAATCGAGAATACATACAAATAGTCTTAATTAGGGTTAGGGTTTCCTAGTGCCGTTACCTGCAGCTCCTTCAAAGACTGGTTGCACAAAAGCCTCGAACTACTGAACAAAGAAGGGTTGAAGTTGAAACCATAAAATTGCGTCAAAGATATGCGAGAAAACAGAGACAAATCAGACAACAGACATGGATCTGAGAATCGAGAATACCAATAACATAATTAAACAAAAATCCCACATACAAAAACTCGAAATCGAGAATACATACAAATAGAGTCTTAATTTTAGGGTTAGGGTTTCCTAGTGCTGTTACCTGCAGTTCCTTCAAAGACCCAGTGTTACACAAAAGCCTCGAACTGCCTCGCACAATGACTGAACTGAGAAGGGTTGAAGTTGAAACCCCAAAATCGCGTCAAAGATATACGCGAAAACAAAGACAAATCAGACAACAGAGAGGTACGACAGCCACTGGTCTGATGTTGGATCTACAAACTCTCGAAGATCTTTGCACAACCTTTGTATATCAAAGGTAGACAACAAATCGCCCCAAATCGCCTCTCAGACATGCGGGAGAAGAGAGAGAAACGAGAGGCACAAATGACCTAATTTGAGAAAAAGTATGTTTTTATACCTCATATCACCGCTACAGTGTTTGGTATCACTTGATTCTAGCACTACAGTATTCGGCCCAATCTGATACCGCTGTTACAGTGCAAAATCAACCAATATCACCAAATTCTTGATATTAGTTTTAGCCCAAATCTGGTATTGTTTTTACACTATTCAAAACCAAATTAGCCCACACCAAACGAGATATGAGCCCAAAACCGAAACCAAAACCACAAAACCAATATCGTTTTGGCTTTCCGAACAGGCCCTAAATATTTTGTCTTAAAATTAAGTCAAATCAACTAAATAAATAAATAATAAATCCTATTTTATTTTTATTTTTTCATAAATCTCACTTGGTGTATTCATATTTAACAAATATTTATCTTTTAAGATTCTCAAACTTAGTTTTGTATATATTCAACAAAATATCTTATTTTGTTGTCAAATTATTTTATATGAATCTAATAATTCTTTATCCAAATATAAATATTTTTTTATTAATGGCGACGTACTAAATCAATTCAAATTAGTCATGCAATTTGTCATTTCAAAGAAACAATTTTTTTTAAATGATTCCTTTCAATTTGATAAATTTCTACGGGGTATATCAGAATAATTTGTAAAATTTAACAGAGTTAAGGAAATTCAAACAGATCACAAGCAAGTTGGCCTCCTCATCTTTAACTAAAAAAAAAGTTGGCCTCCTCACAAATTACAATCACAGTCAAATAACTGAACGGCTGGGATTTATTAGCGCGCATGCATAGCAGTCCCACATCAACGGTTTGATCTCCAAGAAGTGTGCAACTTGTCAAATGACCTTAATGCCCTAAAACCCAAATAGCAGATGTTAAAGAAGTTCAAGGTATAAGCGTAAAAGTATTTCTCACAAGTGGTATTTTCGTAAAATAACAGCTTGATGTTCTAATTCGGGCGGGGAAATGTAATAACAAACATTTGAATTCCTGCAAAAAATTTAGATCCTCCAATTTGTTAAAACCCTAACCGAGCGACGAGAAAACCATTCTCTCTCTCTAACTCTCTCTCTATGAGAAATTTCCATGAAGTGAAGTGCCGGAAACACTTTTCTCTCTCTATCTTATGAGAGTCAACCATGTCGATCCCAATCATTGATGCTTGCAAGAAGAGGAAGAGAACGACAAAGCTCTATGGACTCCAGAGTTTCGCTGACCAGAATTTCCCAATCGCATCCTCAGGTCCATTTCGCGACAATGTTCGATTGTTTCTTCAGGAATGTTGTGAGCTCGAAGACTACAATGTCGAAGGCATGCCCGTTTGGTGCACAATGCTTGTGCACGAGAACAGAGGCTTTCTGGTTCCTCTTTACACCATTGAAGAGAGCGTCAAGCATTCTCTCCGACCCTTGTGCGACCACTGCCAATGCACAGGTGAAATCAAAATTCGAATTGATTTTTCTTTTGGTATCTCGATTTGTGTTTTAGGGATTTTGATTTTGGGTTTTCAAAATTTGAATTTAATTTGGGAATTTAGGGTTTTTTTGTGTACAAAATTTTGTTGTAGGTTGGAAGCATCATCTTCTGACAAAACGAAAGTATCATATGATAATTCCAGTGGATGGTGAGTGGTATAAGCCTCTGAAAGAGGGTGTTTTTGATCTGCAAACCCATCTCTTGCATGGATTGATTCACTGCAATGGGTTTGGCCATCTGCTCTGCATCAATGGAATTGAAAGCGGATCTCAGTACCTCTCTGGTAGAGAAATAATGGATCTCTGGGATCGAATCTGCTCAAGTCTTCATGTGAGGTAACATAAATGTTCTGAATTAATAAAATTTCATTAGATTTATGAAATATCAATGGTTTGAATTTCTTAAGTTTTTGTTATTTTATAGGAAAATTACAGTTGAGGATGTGTCTAAGAAGCGGTCAATGGACCTTCGGCTGCTCTATGGGGTCGCTTACGAACGCTCCTGGTTCGGTCAATGGGGTTACAGATTTTGCCGTGGAAGCTTTGGAGTGACTGAGCACAATTATGAAAGAGCAATTGATATTCTCAGTTCAATGGAACTTGATAAGGTCATACAGGATTTCTCTCATACAAAGCCATACAGAGATGTCAGGCAGATCATTCTTTGTTACAGAAATTTGAGCGAAACCCAGTTGAATACAATCAGAGATATCCTAAAATTCATGCTTACTGTCAAGTCTCGAGCTCCACAACTAATAAGTTCGGCCCATGCTGCAACTGCGTCTTCATCTTCTTCAAAGCTTTTGAAGAGAAAAGCCCTGCAAAACAATACAGCGGCGAAGAAAACATCTGGGAGGTACAATAAATTTGCAACTGTGGCTACTAATTGGGATAGCCGATGGTCTGTAAGAAGAATGGAAAAGACAGCAAATGTAATTGTCAACGCAATAAAAGAAAAGAAAGCATCAAACAGTTTCAGCAATGGTGGTATGACTAGGCAGGAAGCACGAGATGCAGCTCGCCTGCTCATAGGCGACACAGGAATGATTGATTTTGTGCTGAAATCAATGAACAACGTAATTGTCGGAGGTTACATTGTCCACCGGGCTGTGAACCCATCAACTCGGCTTCTAGAATTTTCAATTCAGGAGATTGGGAATGATGTCCAGGTCGATGAGGAGCCCAGACCTGTAATAGTTCCTGAGCCACTTCCAAGGTCGGATATTATACCAGGGATTGATGTTTATAGTGATCTGTCTTACTTGTATACAAATGTGCTATTGGGTCACCCAGAGTCGGTGGTTAAATTGGCCGTTGAAACAATTCTGAACAGCAAGCTTTTTGTGAAGGAGTGGCCATTTAGGGATCAACAAGGTGAATTACTGAGATTCATCTTCCAGGTAATGCCAAGCTTGAGTGATTTAGAAACTGATTTGACAAGAGGATTCCTGCCCAAAGAGTATATTGAGGTTCCAGTGCATGCTACAATTGGTGAGCTGAAGGCAATGGCGCAGAATGCAATGAGGGACACTTACTGTGTTATGGAACGTTTTGTGGTGACAGATATTGAAGAAATGGAGGAAATGGAGGATGATGAAGTGCTCAGTAGCGTGGTTGAGCCAGGTTCCGAGCTTACGCTGAGAGAGTATGGGATCAATTTGGACAAAGAGCTGAAGTATGAAGGCGGGGCAGACAATTGGGAAGTCAGGTGCAAGTGTGGGGCAGAGGACGATGATGGGGAGAGGATGGTAGCTTGTGACATGTGTGAGATATGGCAGCACACTCTCTGCAGTGGCATCGAGGATGCAGAAGCTGCGCCGCCACTGTTTGTATGTGAGGAATGTTGTGCTTCACTTATGCCCTCAAGAATTGATCCTCGCTTTGAGTGGGACTTTATGGAGGCTTCAATGTATCCTTCTATGGCTGAGCTTGGAATGGACATCATGCAGTGAATGTGGTTTCTAGCAACTGTTAGCAGCCATATTAGGTAAGTAGTTTCTTGGCTAACATGTGCTGTGAATGTCGATGACCACGAGCTGGTTAAACATTTCTACAGCTCATTTTGGTTTTACAATTGTTGTGATATAGATTTTACTAGTGATGGGCAAATGTTAGAAACATGTTCAATCTTTCACACATGAATTACACTTTGGATAAAGAATTCTTCTTACTCATGTCATGCAATATAAAAACATTTGGTGTTTTAAAAACTGAAGCTTTTGATATTTAAAGTGTTTGTTACAAGTTTAAAAACTTAAAGCTACAAATTTCAATTTTCAATTTACATGATATACTCAAACCTGATAACCACTCATCTGACTTCTATATACAACAAACATAAATCCTTATCAATCAAGGAGTCTTTATTTGCCAGGATTGTTATATCTAACTGCTTGAATTAGTTGAATGCAAAATTAATTACAAGAACAAACAACAAAGAAGCTAGCTGATTACAGAAAAATCCAACTTCAACAGTTGGGACAACATTATTTTCAGGTTTGAGCACAATCACCAATATCCTTGAAAACTCAGTCTTAAAAGCATTAGGTAACCACCATTTCAGAAAATTGGCTGTTTTGGCAAAGCTTTTGTAACTTTATAGCATTTCTTATAATTATGTTTGTAAATCTAGTCTTCGTTTCCCAAAAATTTCAACCCAAATGAACAATATGAATGGAATGATCTCAAAGGCTTTTTTTTCTGATCGATAAGTAATCTAAAAGGCCAGCAGTATTCATGCATAATGAGTTTCTGTTCCAAGAACAGGAAAAGGAATGGAAAGGAAACTGATAAAAGAAAAGAAAAGAAAAGAATTTATTCATAATCATGAAGCTGATGCTAAGACTTCCATTTGAGGAAACCACCAAGGCAGGCAAACTTATCAAGGTTTGGTACCAGTTCCTTATTTTGGTGGGAAGGGCAGATTGTTGAACAAGGTGGCAATAGTCCAACCATAACCATTTCAACTTGTCATTCTCTTTGTGATTACCTTAGCCTACCTTGCATCCTTTGAGGTTGTTTTAGCTCAGCTGGTAGAGCGCGTGGCTTTTAGTGTTTGGGCAATTACCTATTAAAGCATTCTTCTGTTTTGAAATCAGTATATACCCAACTTCATCCTACTTTTGATAGAAAATACAATCAAGTTTCAAGTGCTTTCATTGAAGCTATTCCATGAAAGTGCTTGTCCATAAATCACTTCTTGATAAACATGTAGCAGTTAGAACATAGATAAATTCTCAAAAATCTAGCATACTCATTAAAGCTTGTGGAAAGAATGAATAGCTTTTTACAACTCTGTAATTCCATAATACTTTGTGTGTTTGTACATCTTCTCTGACCTAACAAAAAAAAAAAAAAAATGATATATTACAAATTAATATGACCTTTTGAGATACTTGAAATCCATTGATGAATCAAAACATGATAACCTATCTTTGTAATGATTCAACAATTTCAACAACTCAGTAGCCTTTTCCTTTGTTCTCTCACCACAACCCACCTGTAGCACAAGCAACAGCTTCTGAAAAGCACCCACTTGAAGTGCCTCAACAATAACACCCTCTTCAGTCTTGCATAACTTACAGAGAGCAGAGACGGAAAACTCTGTCGCCATATCTGAGACTCGTAAAATCTTCTTAACCAACACCGGCACAGCCAGACCGTGATTTCGAGCCTTTTCTCTCCCTTCATCACAACCACATAAACCCTCTAAAACTCCTAGAGCCTTCTCACTTATGCCTCTTTCAGCATCAACAAGAATTTCCAAAATCAAGGAAATCAAACCCAACTCCACAAACCTTCTTGCCATTTTTTCACTTATTGCAGATGGGGAAATCATGTGGTATATAGCCATTAGGGAAGCTTTTGTGGCTGTAGGGCAAATGGGCTCCTCAATTACCCTAACCAATGCTTCAACGACACCATCAATCTCCGCGAATGCGGTAACATGTTGCTGATCCAAAGAGAATAGCTCTTTTAGGACTATAACTGCATTTTGCCTTGCAGAGAGATCTTCCCCATTCAAGAACCATGCCATGCAGCGTAAAGACGGGGCTGAACTGAGCTTGGATTGGCCTTCTGCACCAAGTGGAAACACCCACACCAATGCTGACAAGATCTCCATTAACAAACCAGCATGTTTCTCCATTGACATAGTAGCAAAAGACTCAAATGAGGCTGCTAAAACACAGCCAGTTCCATTGTCCACCACGCACTTCTTGTTCCGTTTGCTCTCTCTCGCCCGTCTCTTCATCTTTCCCACCAATTCTTGGCACTTTTTCCCATCCCCAACTCGACTTGCAACCATAATTCTTGAACCAATCTCCAAAACCTCGTGTTGGGTCACCGGAATTATAGGCGTGGGTATCCTTTCAACGCCATTTGATCTGTTCTCCACGCACCAATCTTGAATCATCTTTCGTATAGCATGATTTGGTATTTGATCAAAGCTTCTCAGAACCTGATTTGTGACTGGACACTTGTGGTTACCGGCTTCGATCCACTTTTCGATGCTCTCTCGATCATATGTGATGCCTGTGGTTAGCGTAACAGGATCTTTCATCAAATCAAGAGAGATGGGGCATCGGAAATGAGTAGGAATCGTGAGCTCCATGTCGAGATTGCCACCGGAGAGCTCGTGCTTACCGGCACGATGGCCGGCTCTTCTTCTTGTCCAAAATGATATCATGTTTTGATTGTTGATCGGAGTAGAAAGAAAGAAATATAGAAGTTAAAGGTTCAATGTTTCAGTTTCTATGTCTATTGCTAATGAAGAGTAGGAAAGAAATTGAAGGCTCTATTTATAAGATACTTTGGGTTGAGTCAAAGAGAGGGAATTAAAAGAGGGTTTGAAGGTAACGTTCAAAATCATGGAGAGTTGAAAAGATTACACGTCGGTTGAGTATTTGAATGTTGACCGTTGAAGATTTGAAATTATTGGGTGAATGTTGTAAATGTAGAATTGATTGTGCTGAGTTGGCTCAAGTTTGACTGGTCACCCGGTCAAAGGTCAGCTTTAGTCGGTTGAGCGACCTGTTTTTATCAGCATTTATACTAGTATTTTTTACTTGCATGCTAGCTGTGTGAAGTTGGAATACAAAAGCATGCTTATTTATTAGTAAATTACATCTAACATTTAATTTTATATTTTCCAGCTTCACTTTAAATAATATGAACTGAATTCCAACTTTGAACAAAATTTGCAATGGTAGGCTGTACACAAATGTATTAGTTGGATCCAAATGCCAGAATAATGTATTAGCTGGATGACTGTTTTAGCTGTATCCAAAATGCCGTGATACATACAATGTGTAAAAATGTCTGATACGTACTATGTGTAACAAATATTATGTGTAATGGGTCGGACACTGTTTCAAAATTTTAAGTTATTCGATGGTATTATATATTATACTCAATATTCTTTCCATTCAATTTTAATATGGGATAACAACCTCTAATAACTGGCCACTTATCATTTTGCATATCAACTAAAAAGTTATAAACTTTAAGTTCAAATATGACTCAGAAACTGATATCCAATTCGATGAGTTAAAATCATGTTCAATTTAAAGTTACTTTTCTAAATTTCTAATCTTATAGGATTTGGGATTAGTTTTGGGTGTAATCGTGTTAACCTTGAAAAAACTCATGTACATTTACATTAGCTTGCGGTTTGTCCGGTGAATCCCTCATGCCTTAGCTTTTGAAATTCAGATTTACAGAGAAATATATTTTATTATTATTATTTTTAATTGGTACTCACATACATTTGTCTTTTCTAAGACTTGAATCTTTGACTTCTCTTTGGAAAGTAAGAGGTTGATATCGCTAGGCCACTGGCCCGTTGGTTTTATGTCCTGTATGTGTGTGTATATATATATATATATATATATAATACATATGTAATTAAGAAATAATTTTTTTAAAAAAAAATTGAACTCATTTAATTTTTAAAAATTCTCCATATTCTCTACCCTCCCTTCTATGTCTAAATTTTAATATTAAAAATTAATACTCCTTCTATTTTAAAATAAATAAACAATATAAAAATTGTGGCTCACAAAATTATAAATCGCCATTTTGAAAGTGCTGGACTATTTTTTATTTTTGGTTAGATATGCAGGACCATTTTGAAACGGAAAGAAGAGGAGAAGAAAGAACAAGTGATTGATGAGCGATGCTTTTGCAACTGAGAAAGCCAGCCCACGTGTGTGACAGAGACAGCACAACGCTCGCATGTTACAGACAAAATATTCCACTCCCTTGCCATGTTCTATTTTTAATTGAACAGCCAACCCATCATGTGACAACTATTATGATTTTTATCTTTTCACTTTTGGGTTAGCAAAATCTTTGTACTTGATCAGGTCGGACGAGCTATCATTACATCTTACCAACAACAACTTATGAGTGCACGTTAGAACTCCTAAAAGAGTTAAAAATAGACGCATAAATTCTTTTTATTTTTTGCGTTTTTACAAAATTGGCGGATGAAGTTTTTTTCGTAGTTTATAATTGTATGGTGCCAATGTAAGAGTATTATATTAAACAGGTAAATTTAAACTCGATCTATTTAATAATTGTTTCAAAAATCCTCAACACTAACCCCGATTTATTAAACGAACAAATATGTTAATTCATTTAATGACCTGTTTATTAAAATAAAACATTTAATAAACGGGTTACACGAGTTAAACTCCTCAATTCTAATCACACACGATTAAGTAAACGGGTTAATCGTGTCAACTCGTTTACGATCCGAACTTGTTTAAAGTTAATTCAAACCTGCTTATCTCGTATCATTTTGGAATTGTGTTGGCGGATCATATCGTAAATTACCACCCCGAAATGTAGGAGGTATTAGTACTTACTCAAAATTTTAACCCACTGTAATTTTTGAGCTCCTATTTATTTGGTTTTATAATTTTTGAGACAGATTAATCATTTAGCCACCTGTTGCTCAAAATTTCATGCATTATTATTTTTGGATATATCAAGTCTGGATGAGTTGTGAAAAGTATTTATTATTATTTTCTTAAAGTGTGATTGGAAAAGGAGAATTAATTTCATTTAGCAATTAGAATTCTGTTTCTAATCTATCTTAATAATAAAACCAATTTATGCTAGGGAAAAAAAAGTTACATATAAGACTTTGTAGGACAGTGTATATCTCCTTTATCTTTCAACATAAAAGGTAATGGTTCCAATCTCCAAAAACAAACGAGTGAGAAGAATTTCTGGTAAATGAAAATATATATATATATATACACACACACATATATATCTGCAGGGTGGACTGCTTTTAAACATCCCACCTGTTATGATTTCCTTTTTAAAAGGAGATCAAAAAAGATATAGAGGGAAATATTTCCTCAGCTTTTCAAAGCGCGCAATGAAAGAAAAATGAAAAGAGGCAGAAGTACCACCACACTTTACAAAAAGACAGTGGTCACTGGACCACTTTTTATCTGTCAACCTTTAACATTTAGGTGTCAGGTGTACACATACAATGGACCATAGATGTTATGGACAACAAGTGCTACTACAAAGCACAAGAGCCATAAGGGCACATTTGGGCGAAAATAATGGCTTAGAAACTATATTTAATTGTGTTGAAAGTTTTTTTCCACACCTATTTAATTGCGCATATGATTTTGAAATCTTGACGCATTGATTATGATGCATGAATCAAGAAAAGCAGTAATTCGAAGAAAGAAAAATGAAATTTTTTCTTGAAGGTGATGATAAATCGCAATTCCTACTTTTCATAAATGGCATTTGGGAGTTCAAATTCCACAGGTCAAGAGTATATTTATCAGACAATAAAGAAATAATTGCCATGGGATAACTATGTTATATGAACAGTTTACATAGGAAACATGAAATTTGTGTTCATTCATAAACACATTAAGAATATCCAAACTACATTACTGAAAACGTGATAAATAAAAAAGGAAAAAAAAAAAAAAATTACAAAGCTTAAATAGACTACAGTAAAGAAGCAATTAGAATGAACAAACAAAATCAACCAGAATCAATCTCACCATGCCTTCATCTTCTTCTCACCTCCCATCTGCAGATGTGAATGACTCAGCAAATCCATACGGCCTAGTGGGTATGCTGGTCTGTGTGTTGTCCAAGCTTGGCAGGAATGAAGAAGAAGAATCCATGTGACTTCTTCCTTCAAATGCTTGCCACTTCTTAAGTGCTTGTGGCAATGACATCTCGAGGTCAATGCCATATACGTCTTCGGTGCTCTGGTCAGATGGTTTCCACAACTCTACTAGAGAAGATACCACATTGACAGCATGACCCATGTCAGGCCTTTGGTATGGCTCTCTTGCACAGCAGTGGCCGGCCAATTCAGCAACGGTGCTGACACTGGCAAGTGTTTCCTCAGTGAGGTCAATTGTAGGATCAATGGCCTTGCAGAAAGTGTCCTTATTAATGTGCATCCTCCGGAACCATGTTACGAGGTGCATGCTTTCTTCAGGCTGGCTCTCATCAAGTGCTTTTCTCCCTGTGATTAGCTCCATCAAAATCACCCCAAAACTGAAGACGTCGACTTTAGTAGTCACTCGCCCTGTCACTGTGCAATTCAAAGAAAGAGACTTCAATTCAGAACTATGCAAATTCAGCTGAAAAAAATGCACATGCTTGTGAAATAAAAAGAATTGTTTGCAGGAAACTTTTTACAGACTTGCGTTCTCTGTGTCTTGATATTTATAGTGTTTGTTACAAGTTTAAAAACTAGATGCATCTGCAAATTTCAAGTTTCATTTTACATGATATACTCAAACCTGATAACCACCATTTCAGAAAATTGGCTGTTTTGGCAAAGCTTTTGTAACTTTATAGCATTTCCCAAAAATTTCAACCCAAATGAACAATATGAATGAAATGATAATCTAAAAGGCCATCAGTATTCACGCATAATGAGTTTCTGTTCCAAGAACAGGAAAAGGAATGGAAAGGAAACTGATAAAAGAAAAGAAAAGAATTTATTCATAATCATGAAGTTGATGCTAAGACTTCCATTTGAGGAAACCACCAAGGAAGGCAAACTTATCAAGCTTTGGTACCAGGTCCTTATTTTGGTGGGAAGGGCAGATTGTTGAACAAGGTGGGAATAGTCCAACCATAACCATTTCAACTTATCATTCTCTTTGTGATTACCTTAGCCTACCTTCCATCCTTTGAGGTTGTTTAATTAGAAGATACTAAGATGATGAAACACTAATGAAGTTGCCGTCTTAGCTCAGCCGGTAGAGCGCGTGGCTTTTAACCACGTGGTCGTGGGTTCGATTCCCACAGACGGCGATGGTTTTCCAAAATTTTCCCTTCTTGTTTTTAACTCCAAAAATTTAATTTTTTTTCTATTTCCTTTCTTTTCTAGTTAATACCATCGAGCCCTCATGTTCCATTAAGATTTAGGACATAATTTTGGTTTTTTTCATGCATAAAGAGCAACACAAATAAAAAATATTGGAAAAATAAAAATTAAGGAGGTGAATAGCTAGAAAATAAGAACCTGCATATTCCGGTGCTAGATATCCAAAAGTTCCAGCAATTCTGGTTTCAATTGATCCTTTCCCCTCGGGGGCAAGACGCACGAGACCAAAATCTGCAACCTTAGCCCTCATATCATCCCCAAGAAGAATGTTGGAGGGCTTTAGGTCCCTGTGTATAAAGCTTTGATGGGCCAAACCATGAAGGTACTCAACACCCCTTGCCACGTCCAAGGCAATAGTCAACCTTCTTGTCCATTCCAATGGTTTCAACCCTTCTTCTGGCCAGTTGAAAAGATGCCTACTGAGTGTCCCTTGAGGCATGTACTCATACACAAGGAGCCTCTCATTCCCATCCAAACAGTAGCCAAGAAGAGCAACAAGATGCCGATGCCGAACCTTAGTCAAAACAGCAATCTCAGACTTGAATTCAGCCACACCCTTCCCAGTAATCACCCCGGACTCCATTCTCTTCACAGCGATTTTCGTTCCATCGTGCAATTCCCCTTTGTAGACCGTCCCAAAACCTCCTTGTCCCAATATATTCTCTTCACTGAAATTGTTGGTCACACTTTTTAGGACTTGAATGGAAATGACCATGTTTCCTGCTTCAACCATTTGGATATCGCTGGTCTCGCTGCCAGGAATAGTATGAGTTTCACTAACTGCACCAACACTCACACTTGATCCTGCAACTGTGATTTTAACACTCTCATTATCAGAACCTGAATGGCGAGGATGAATGGTAATCGCATTTGGGCTCTGTACTCTGCTAAAACGCTTTTGTTTGTTTTTGTATAGACAAAAAGCCACAATACCAATCAATACAATCACAAAGACACCTCCAATTACAGAAAACACGACCACCCCAATCCAGTTTTTAGATTTCTTACCACCACTTTCGGAACTACCATTGTTTTCGGTAGATGGAGTGGATGAACCCCCAGAGGATGTGCTAGAATCATTCTTCTCCTTCCCAATATCCAAATTACCATTCATATTTACAATCACATTGTTCTTAAAAGCTGGTAATTTCCCATGAAGCTGGTTTTTCGATACATCAAGCTCAGTAAGTGCAGGAAGAGTCGTAAGCTCCTCTGGGATTGTACCTGTGAGATTGTTATTAGCAAGAACCAATCTTTGCAGTGACTTGAGCGAAGCAAATTCAGGAGAAATTGTACCAGTAAGACCCATTTTCTGAAAATTAACAATGGTAATGTTCCCACCATTGCAAGTGATCCCAAACCATTCCGAACACGGGTCATTCCCCTTCCAGTTCTCTGCAAACTTTACCGGGTAATCCATGGATTTGACAATAGAAAGCAGTCTATTCACTCTCGGATCACAATCACCAGGTATTGGCAAACAGAAGCTATTAGTATTTTTGGTCATATCCACTGCAACCGAATTGTTAAACTTGGGCATTGGTCCTTGAAGCAAGTTATTGGTCAAATTAACAATCTTTAAAGACTTAAGATTCACCAAAGACACCGGAACAGGACCGGTAAAAGAATTATCTCTAAGACTCAAGCTCTCCAAACCGTTCAACCCGGAGAAGTCCGGTAATGGACCTGAAAACCCATTGGAATGCAACCAAACCTCCTTCAAGAATGTCATGTTCTGTATAACATCAATTTTCCCACCAAGTTTAGCATCACCCATTTGCCCATTAACCCACAAAGACTCAAGTTGTGACCCAGAAAAGGTCAAAGGCAATTTACCTTCCAAGTTATTGAAAGCTAAGTGCAAATTAATCAGCCCTGGAAATTCATCCGGACCGAAAAAATCTGGTATTTTCCCGGTAATATTGGCCGAATTAGCCGAGAAATTTTGAAGGGTTGAAGAATTTCGGAGGCTTTGGGGGATTTCCCAAGCCAAAAAGGGATTGTTGTCAATTTCAACAGATTGAAGTGATGACATTCCTGTGAAAAAATCTCTAGGAATTGAACTGAACTGGTTATTGCTAAGCATTAACACTTGTAATGAACTCAACCCATTTAAGCTCGGAAGTGGACCTGAAATGTTGTTCCATTGAAGCTCTAATCTTTCTAGTTCAGTGAGGTTTGAGAGATTTGAAGGGAGTGTACCTTGGAGGTTTTGGTGCCCGATTTGGATCCGAGTGACCCGTTTGTCCCCTGAGCAGACCACGTGACTCCACTGGCATGGTTCTGGGTCAGACCATCCGAGGTCTTCAGAAGGGTTTAGGCTCTTCTTCAGAGCTAACATCACTGAAGCGTCATTTGGGTTCGTCTGAGACTCTCCACAGACGAAGGTTGAAAAGAATCCAGCAAGAAACAGAGCTAAAAGCTTCAATCCAAGATGGGTTTTCATCCTGGGAAGTTAGAGAGAGAAACAGCGAGTGTTAGATAGAGAGAGAAAACAGACGGATGGGGTGGTGGTTTCAAGGGATTTTGTTCATGCAGAAAATGTATTGACTGCTTAAAGGAGCATAGGATGCTGAAAGGTAGCGAGAGAGAGAGAGAGAGAGAGAGAGAGAGGGAAGTGGAGAGTAGGAAGTATTGCACATGACAGTGGGGACCACACATCCGAAAGCCAAACGGCTGTCGATGACAGTGTTAAAAAGCTGGACATAAGTGGCTGATTCGTTGGCCCATGGGCCCAACCCAACTTGGCAATGTTTACGCATATATTAGAGCATCCAGCGTGGTTAATACAAGTTATCTATCAACTCTTTAAAATGGTGGCATGGTACTTTATTTTTTTTAATTCATATGTATCATGGGGTGGAACCCAATTATCTCATTCTCTATTTATTATTTTATTATTTTATCTCATCCATATCTGCCTTTTGCTTTTTTCCATTCAGTCAGATTGATTAAACAAAGGAAACAAAAAATAAAGTGTTCTCCAAAGGCTTCTGGATCTGTGGACAAAGGCTTAGACAATGGTTGTAGGCCCCACAAAACAGATACTCCACTTCTCTCACCATATCATCCACTTCTCTCTCTTAACAGACACAGATATACTCTAAAGAGAGTGCCGCCCCGAATGCTCTAAGAAATGATACTACCTCTGCTCTATTTTAGATGTCGGTTTCAAAAACTGTGAGTCATAATTTTTAAAACCGAGAAATGAGACAGATGGAGTATAATGTAATTTTAAAAACACATTTGTATTTCATAAATATTTCAAAATAATATGTATTATTAGACTATATTAGACTTCAATGTAAAAGAGCAATGCTTCAAGCTTTATTTTTCTTTTGGTTGGTAAGATGATTATTTTGTTCCCTATAATTATAGGTTACTTAAATTTGGGACTTTGTTGATGAGATGAGACGGACCACTGGTTTTAATGAGTTCATACAGTTGTTATTTGATTCCCAAAGAGAGAGAGAGATATATATATATATATATATATATATATATATAGTACAATATTTATAGGAATAATGTGAGCCAGATGCAGTGCCATGTGGGGTAGCAGGCCCTAGCGTTTTCGTGTATTGTTTTTTAATTCAATTTCAAAAAATAAATATAAATAATTCAAATTCGATTAAAAAAAAAATAAAAAAACAGGAGAGAAGGTGCTCGAGGTGGCACTTTGGTAAGAGAGTCGTTTATGTCTCTACACATATATAGAATATGTATAAATTATTATTATACCAATTTGCCTAGAATATGTTGGGAGTGGTGATATCAAAAACCATCACTCTAATTATTTTTCACGAACGTGCGTATGATTTACTATGGAAGTGTTGTAACTGTGTGAGTTGGTTATGTGGATTGTATATCATTTTTTTTTTTTTTTTTTTATCCTCGGAATAAGAAAAGCAGCCATTCGGCATTTATAACGAGCGTCATAAATGGCCGTACAAAGACAAACAAATCATGAAGCAATAGAAGAAAAATTGAAGAACGGACTCCAGATTTGCTAAGAAACAACACAATAGCGGAAATCACTAAGAAAAAAAAAGCAGCAATGGGAATGACTCACAGATCAGGCCATCGTCAAGGTAACTCCTCCAAGACGGTATCCACAAGGCGCCGTCGACGGAGAAGAAACTCTCCAAACCCAGCACAAGAGGCGGGGACAATAAAACCCATATAGAGGCGGAACCACAAAACCCACACAGAGGTGAGATCATAAAACCTGACATAAATTGAAGATCTAACCGAAAATAAAAAATAGGTCTATTCCGTCAAGTTGGAAACAAATCTAACATGCCTTGACATGTTAGGTTATGTGATTGTATATCATTGATATAGAAAAGATGGGAGTTAGTACTCAACATGTCTTCTTGTGATTTTCTTTTGTAAGTTAACCACTTCATGACAAATTTATTCATAGATATAGGACTTTTAGTGCCGAATCAATAATCAGGAAGACTTTTGTCTCTCTCTCTCTCCCTTATTATTTTTTTTCAATAATCAGTAGACTTTTGTCTCTCTCTCTCTCTCTCTCACTTATTATTTAAAAAAAAAAATATTAGTATGTTTTATTCTATCTTGTCTAAAGTTATTTAGTTGCTCTTGTTTGTAGATTTTGTGGGACTAACTGTTGATATTTTTTCTCATTATTTCAATCTTTTAGTTGCTAATAAATGCATCCATACATAATCTTCTCCAGTTAAATTGTGAGATGTGTTTCGTTGGCTTCCGAATGCACCTTATAAAAGGATTGTAATGTTTAATAAATATTATTACTTTTTTGTAAAGTACATCGAAACATAATATATGATTCACAGGAGGAGATTTTCTTTCTCCTCTCTAACTGAATATTTTATTTTTTTATAATTGTAAACCGGTAAAGAGTGACTACCATTAATATGAGAATTTTTAGTTTAATTTTTTTAAAAAATTCAGTTATAAAAACACATGGTTTCAAAGAACTTCTCGATTTTTTTTATTTTTTATTTTTGGTGTTTTGAGAACTGTTTTTAGAATGACAAATCAATGGTCTGTTTGGCAACCGTTTTTGCTTTGACCCAAAATAGAAGTAGTGTTTCTGCTTAAGAGTGTGTTCAACACTATTTTGAAACTTATTTGGTAGTGTAACTTTATTGCAAGATTTTTAGAAACAAAAAACATGAAAGCTTGTTTGGTAAAAAATGTTGTAAATTTGAAAAATTAAATTTAAAAATGTCCTTTTAGAATTATTATTATTATTTTTTATCAGTGCTTTTGTTACGGTGCGAAAGCAACCAAAGTCATCATTTTTATGTTTTTGATTTTGACCTCTTTTTGGGAAGCATTTCGGTACTATTCAAATGACAACAAATATTATCAAATATGTTTTGTATTTTTATTTCGCTACAATACACTAACAAAAACAAAAAAACACCAAATAAAATCAATTACCAAACATGTCCTAAGTAGTAGGCTCATATTTTTGCTACTCCCATATGCCCAAAACCTGTTCCACGGCTGACACGTTTTAGGGCATCATTTCAACTAGATTTCTAACTTAAATAGCACAACCATTTTGAAAAGGTACGATTTATGAGCCCATTACCCACTTCTCATATGACTATAAGATAGTCTACTGTCACGGGCTTAGAGTTTCAGCACCACTCTAGTTGCTCCCGTGCGGCACCAAGACGTTGCTTCCACTCTCGCAAGTACTTGGTCAGCCTAATTCCCGTGCACACCTTAGCCAACACACTCCCCTCGTGCGCTTACTAGTGTTGTAGTTGCACTCGCCCTCTCCTCACTTAGCTTGCACACTCACACACACTAAGACACTTAAGTTGGCAAGGAAAGAACACTTTTATTACTTCAAAGAATGCTTTGTACAAGGCTAGCACTCAAGCTCTCTACAAGGCTTTCAAGACTCACTCCAGGACTTGTTGGTTGCAAAATGAAGTCCTACTCCTATTTATAGGCATCCCCATCCCTAATGGGTGGCTAGGATGCATTCTAACCAACAGTGGAGATTGATTCTCTAAAATCTTCTTCCACCTTCTACACATTTCCATACATATCTACAACATTCTAGAACCCTCCATACTACTCCACACAATTCTGGAGAATTCTAGAACATTCCACACACTTCTAGAATATACTACACATATCTAGAATCTTCCACACAACTCTAGACTACTCCGGAAAACTCTAGAAACTCCACTTGCCATGCAGTTGCCATGCAGCGTCCTCCTCAGCATCTGCGTGTCGCCTGCGTGGTACAACCTCCATAGGCGGGGCGTGACACTACGATCCATAAAGTGTTTCATGGAGCTCTTCACAGGCCCATAAGAGCAGAGGTTCTACAGATGAATCGAGTGTACAAATATTGTTCCTAGGCCAACCGAAGTATGTTTGAATTTTTAAATAACCCTCTTAAATTATATTTTATGCATGATACTTTCCTAAACTATTACATTTTACTGCAAAATACTCGAATGCCTAAATTATATTTCATTAAATGACCATAATGCTCTTTTTATTTATTTATTGAATTACACTTTATCTATTTTCTTATTCAAATAAATTATAAAAAAAATTCATACTAATTTGATGATATATACTTCATTAAATTAGCATAAAGTTACCTTTAAATTTTTATAATAAGTTTTATTATAAATAATAAAAGTTTAATAATAAGTTAATCATTTTAGAAAATGGTAGTTACAAATTTATTTAATTTTCATTTTTATGATAAATTGATACTAATAATAAAATTAAGGCAAATAGTATAAATAATATTTAGATAAGAGAAAAAATAATAAAATGGTAGTTACAAATTTATAAATAATAGGGTAAAGTACAAAAAAAACCCCTATGAACTTTACTCTCTCTCCCTAAAAACCCCCCCTGAACTTTTACTTTGACAGTTAACCCCCTAAACTATTAAAATTGTTGCAAAAATTACCCACTGCCAAGGTTCGGTTTGGTTCCTCCGGCTAAATAGGCACGTGATCATCACATGCATAAGCTGTAATTTTAAAATGACAAAGTTACCCTTGCTACCTTATTCCAAGTCAAAAGAATGGCCAGCCTTACAGGACTTCCTTAATTAAGCTGACCGAATATAAGAACTGGCGTGAGATCATCTATCAAGATTCGGATTTATGGAGTCTGGATTTGAGTCCTCACTCTAGTCCTTTCCGTTTTTGTTTGTGGAAAGCAGGACTATTATATGTATAAATAAAACAAAATTTCCGAATTGATAATACTTTTTTTCCCCAAATCGAACCCCAAATCAGTCGTCGAAAGTTCAAATCCTATTTTTACCAAATTGCCATCTTTGTTTGGAACAATTGCCTCCATCTCCTTCTCGTTTCATCATAGGAATCTAGAAATCTAGATTTCTTTGTTAACTTCGATCAAGTTCTGATCAGCAATCTCATTCCCGCTCTAGATCTACTGATACATCAGCAGCACCGAGAATACATCCCTCGCGATGTGGTCCAGGCCGTCGTCGTCGACCACCATGTAAATCAGCTACCAGTTGGTGCAAAGACAAGGTAGATGATTTGATCGTTTTCTTCGATTTAATGGACTG